TTGAACATTAAATAAGAAAAATTTCTCTAGGAAGGGTGTGCCACCTATTTGGGCACATAATGGGCCCCACTCAATATGCAATGGTGGATCCTAAAGACATATTGGGCCTCCTATTCAATTTAAGTTATTTATATATTTTGATAAATACACAAAATCATTATTTGAATATTTAAAGTATTATAAAATTAATCTCTATTTCTATAAATCCAAATTTGATAAATAAAAAAGGCAGAGATTTAGAAAATTCAAATAACAATTCTGAAAATCAAATATAATTAAAATAAATAAAATTAAATACTTTGATGAGAAAATAATCCATATGGTTTAGGAATAAATATCTACTAGGGCACTCCATGTCCAACTGCGAACTACAAACCACACATGCTTTCTCAAATCAACCCATCATTGCCCATGACCTACAGTTCAAGCATGAGATCATTAGTAGGTTACCAAAATCTAACCAATGGGCAAAGTGTCGTAGTCCCAGTATATAGATTTCAGCCCCCCCTGGAGATGAAACCCAAGGTCATCTTAACCTGATGCAATCCATAGCTCGATGGTGTACAATGGGTATCTCTCGTACATGCACACACTTCATCCTAAAAGATGGTATGCTTTCCCGAAAATAGTTATCGATATGCATGCCATGTCATGGTAAAATGATGAGGCCTTGGTCCCGTATCTAAAGGCCACCTAGGTCACATAGTCCCTCGACTCACTCATCTTGGCAAAATCCAACCTCATCAAGGGATAACCTATATAACCCTCATCGATAAGGTTCTCAGAACCCAAGTAACATGAGTTTTCCCCAATCAGACTGACGTAGTACGTCAAACACAATCTAGTATCAACAAACATCGTTTGCTTAATATGGTCCAAAAGAGATCACATTCCAACTGAGTTCATGTTCGACTTTATAATTTCATTTTACAAGCACTCATAAGGCATTTAATGGCCACACTCACCCAACAATATTTACTCAAATATGATGAATTTTCATAATTTTCTAGAATATTCATAATTTTCACTGTCTTAATAATATTAATCCACAAAATTTAAAGAAACGTGACTACCGTGGACCTATTGGGTCGCATAACATGTGGCCCTATGCGTAGAGCAGCGTGCGTCCGTGCGAGACATGGGCTGCATCGTGTGGCCTGGGAGTAGGGGAATTTACGTCATTTTACCCTTGGTCCTTTCAAGGCTTCCGACTTTTGATCTATGAGTTCGATTTGGGTGATTCTTAGACCGTTGTAAAGCTTTTGGGGTCTACTGCAGTTTTGAATAGGTTTTAGGATCATTAAATTGGGTCTAGGGGTACTAGGCTTCACTAGTGCTATTTTGGTCCTTAAGGTTTAAAAGCAGGGTTTCTAGGAATTCCCTTAGCCAAAATTTCGAGGGGGTTTCCTACAATACCGATTTATAATGTCAATAAAAAAAATCTCTCAAAAAAATGAGAAAATAAATGTGCACGGTCTAGATAGTTATAAATTTATTACTAATAATATATAAAAACATAAACATCAATGATCTAATGCAACGATTGTATCATCGTATAATGCAACGACACTTCTAGAAAAGCATGTTTGTGGTATTTTTATAACCCAAAATTTTATACACATACTGTCTTCATCTAAATAATCAATCAAAAAAAAAAAACATAGGTTCAATTTGAACCCTAAATATGGTCAAAATGAGTCTCCTCCAACAACGAATCTAGACCATTCATTTAGGGAATTTCATGGTCTTAGCCTTTACAAACTGAAAATCATTTTTTCCTTTTTTAACATTGTTCATCTAATGATAATAAAGCCTTCTAACAAAATTGAAAATAAAAAATTCCTTCTAATGCCTAGATCTAACCATCTTATTAAAATGGACGGCCTATGTTAATTGGGTTAAAAAAATACTTTGTAGGTTTCATTTTCCAATTTTTCGTTTTTGTAATTGTTCATTAGAATGAAAAGAGTGTATATTTCAAAATTTGGATAAACAAAAGTCCCCAACAAGGTTTTTGAAGATTGTTGCATTATATTAATATACAACCGTTGCACGAAATTATTGCTCAAACATAAATTTATGATTATAAATATACATTATAATAAATGATGAATTATGCTAGTTAATAAAATTAAAATAATTCATTATTATCATATCAATTATGGGAGTACATGAGGTGTGTCCACTATCCGATGATCCAAATTTTAAGGGTTTTGAATTTGTAAAAAAGAAAAATATAATTCAACGATAAGACATGATTGTGGTCATCAAATTGGGCCTGATTCAATCTCGAATTTTGGGCTTATACTATTGCATCAGCCTATGGCCAGACATGATATTTTCCATCAATTTTTAGTGATGAACAATAGTATAAATTTATAAAATCCTAGTTTATAATAGATTGAATAATATTTTATGCATTATGATACTTAATAGATCAGACTAATTGATTATATCCATTTAGTGATAAACATAAGTTTATAATTAATATAAATTATGATAGTTTTTAATAATTTTATTATTGATGTAGAAATTTAATAATGGTAGATTATATAATCTTAATATATTAAGTAATATTTACATATAGAAAAGTCTAAAAGACACCCATGGGCGAATTGGAATAGTGGTTCACCTTGCAACGGCTCTACAACAATCGTGGTAGAATCCCATGTTTTATTGTGTGAAAAAAACTAGGCAACATACATGCTATGTCTGTGGCGGTCTTTTAATCCATGGCGTTCGAAAAAATCGGATGGTACCAAGACTATGGGTGAAAATACTATTCATTTTTGCCCATAGGCGTTACATATTCTCTTCCTTTACTTATAAATGTAGTAATTAATTAATAATTCTATATATTTACAATAATTTTAATTGATGTAAGTAAATTTAATAATGCTATAATAAATGGATTGCAAATGATTAATTATCATTAAAAAATATAAAAATCAAAATTTTCTTATTAGTAATTAAAAGTATATAATTATAACTACAATAACTGTTGCACCACTATATTTTGATTATTTAAGTACAATTATATAATCTTAATAGATTAACTAATATTTCCATATAAGTATAATACTTAATTAAAAATTCCATATAGTTACCATAATTTTAAATTAATGTAATTAAATTTAATAATGCTATAATAAACGGATTGTAAATGATTAATTATCATTTAAAATATAAAAATAAAAAATCTCATATTAGTAATTAAAAGTATATAAATATAACTACAATATCCGTTGCATTATTATATTTTAATTAGTTAATTTCTTATAATCATATTATTCTTAATAATATGTTACTATCATATTATTCATATATGTTTACATATAGATAGATCAGAATGCTAATTCTGAAAGCATATAGGATTGTTCGGGCATATCCTATTTTTTCTAGGACAGAAAAGGGACATATATTTAATATATTTATTTTTCATCATTATAGTAACACATATATATTCTAGGATACGATAAAATAAATTTCTCAATGTATCAATTGTACATGATAGACAAAGTTACTGAAAAATGAGAAAAGAGACAAAATTTTCTTAACAATGAATAAAGAGATTTATTTGACGAAATCAATATATTAAAAAAAAAAAAAATCAAGAGGGAAATTTGGTGTCAGAGATGACACATGTTGCAAGAACAAAAAAGCCCAACTTCTTGCATGATATTAACTAAATAGTATAAATATATATGGTTGTGGTTTGCATAAGGTTACAACCTTAAACAGTTAAAGTGAGGTGTACCTCCAAGTAATTTTGATGTCAAAATTTTTTAGGATGGTGCAAGAATATATTTTTATTTTTTATTATAAAATTTTAAATTCTAAAAAAGGTTCAATTAAACAAATCTATAAACATATGAAAATTTTGAAAATGGACAGTCTAGACAATTTATTACGAGATTTATTATTTTTAAGACTTGAATTCTTTTTTTTTTCCAAATCTAGACATCTTGATATCGAGATGTCAATTAGATATTTTCCAACCTCAAAACAACATTTCTCAAAGGATTCACCTTAATTCTACACTTTAAGGTGTCAACCTTAATCAATAAAAGTTCATATTCTTTTTTTTTAAAAAAGGTGTCAACCTTGTACAAATGTTTTTTGAATATATATATATATATATATATATATATATTTGAATGAAGTTTTTTATAGAGCCGAGGCTCTAAACAATCAAATTAGAGCCTACCTCAAAAATTTTACTTGAAAAAGTGGTTTTGATGCTCAAATATCCTCAAATTGATCATCTTGACTTCAAGATACATAACCATGAGAAAAAATGGATTTCAAGTTTTGACAATAGTATATTTTGTAATGTATTTTTGGACCGTCAAATTTCAAAATTTTCAAATTTTTATAGATTTATCGATCTACACAATAACATTTCAACCTAGTACAAATGCAACTGCAGCGAGTGAAAGCGATTTTTACCTGACAACATGTCAAAATAAAGCTTTCTCTATATAACATAACCGCTGTAGTCACAATTACAGTTTGGCTATGAGATTGTCCCCGTCCATTAATGTATTGGACGGAGTGATTCCCCCAACACGTCACTATTTCATGATAGACCATCTCCGCATCACCGTCCATCTCCTTGTTCGGACGGTGATAATCGACCTCTTCTTATTGGCATGATGACGACCGCATGCTCTTGCAAATTTCCCAGAGAAAAGAATCCCAATAAATAAATAATTTCACCTGAAGGTGGGGAAAAAATTTGAAAACCGAAACGATGTGTTTTGGTGCGACTCGCGATATACGTGTGATTTTGCCTCGTGTCAAAAAAGGAGAAGCGAAAACCGGAGAGGACAGGTAAAACAAAGGATGACACACGTGTGTGACTAAATATAGAAAAATTGAAGAGTGAGGAGAGAGAGGGTCCCCCCTCCCATTGCCTTTTATTAAGCTCTGTTCCTGCAGCGGACTGCGATTTGAAAGGCGAGGGTTCGTATATTTGGTGTATTGGAGTGCAGGTGAGGTCCATTTTAGGGCAAATCAGCTTCTTTCTTGTCATTCCTCAAGTGATTATCTCTCATGACCTAGGGTTTCTCTTACTTGGTTTTTGGTTGCTCAATCCATAGCAGGTTTAGTCTTTCTTCTGCATCAAAATTTACCTGTTTCTCTCTGTCAGTTTTTGTTTTGTTTGTTTTCTCAAAGGTAACGCCTTCTGCATGTGGTGCTGCCTGCCTTTGTTTTTGCATTCCATTCTTGCTGCTTTCTATCTCTCTGTAGGGTTTGAATTTTTAAACTTTGAGCACATTATCTGGGATGTTTCGGTCTATTCTTAAATTTCTTCATTTCAGCATTTGTTTTAATCTGCTTTCTGTCGTGTGGTTGAGGATTTTGCATGGTTCTTTGGGATCTTATCGTTGGTGTTTTGTTTAATTAGAAGCTCATAATTCTCCTTTTGTATTCGTATTTATGCTTACGTTCGCTTAGATGAACATGCTTACTGATGATTTTTCGAATTTGGAGGTTGTTTGTACTCTGGCTGTATGGATTTCTGTTGTTTCACGGAGTCTAAATTCGGTTGGAAATTGTTTTGCGTTGATCGTTAACTGCATTTTTGGCTCTGGATTGTATAATTGGCTTCTCGTCCTTTTAATGGAAACTACCAATAGAGATTGGGTTGCGTGCTATTTCATTCATGTCCATATTAATGCTTTGCGTTTTTTGGCGAATTTTTCATCTTTGGAAACTGTGATAATTTCATTGTTCTACATTGCTTTCAGTTCTTCAGTTCGTGCTATCTCTGTGCTAATTTATGCATATTAATCATTCTATTTAATGACATTTCTTCATTGCTGATTTATTTATTGTTCTGATAAAGGTTTTGCCTGCTTCCATGAGATGGTATATTTTTCTGGGAAAAAATAGCAAGGCATTACTGGTTCTTGGATAACGTAACTTTTTTATCAAATGCGTCTCTCTTTGTACGTCACTGCATGTGTGATTTTGTTGATCGTGTTGTGGTTCTCTAAAGCAGCTTTCTGTGTACTTCCCTGCATGCATGGATTTTTATTGATCAGTTGTTCTTCTCTATATGCTTGTTGGTGTGAAGCGTCTCTAGTTGGACGGCCACGTTGGCCTTGTGAATTTTGAAATTAATGACAGGAAGTCTGAATGTTACCCAGATTAGTTTCCGACATAGAGTTTCTTAACTAAGTATGTCACTTTTCCATGCGATCATTCGATGGAGATGAGTTAAATTCCTTTTTTACTATCCCGACTTTTATGGAATGTCTTACTTTAATGAAAGGAAATGACATGTGGAATATCAGTTTATAGTCTCACTGAATCTGGATTTTTATTTGGAAGTAGTGGCTATGAGGGATATTGTGCGCCGTTCAATGATATATTGACCTGTAGAACAAATATCCTGAAATGTAGGCAATAATTCTCCGATGTTCCACGCGTTGCTGGCAGGGTAAACTTGGAATTTACTCCCATCCACTTGTCTCATGCCTGATGAGTGTTACGGTTAAATTCAGAAATTCTATAGCTTGGCATACTACTTGGGCAATCTTTTACATTTTTTAGATTAATTTCCTGAATTCAAAATTGTCTTTTGTTGATTGTACTTCTTCGACACCGGAGTGAGATTGCTTGAATGGATTTAACTCTTTGGTTGGGTTCTAGAAACTCACACATGGCATCGTCTACTACAGATTTATCTGAAGGGCACTGGTTCACTAGTACCTATTTCATAAGTACATGGATATGCATGTTACTGTGTGGTACAGATATGCATGTCAGATTTGATTATTATTTTGGGTGAGTTCTGGAAACTCATAAGTGGCACTGTTTGTTACAGAGTTATCCTCGGTTTTCCATGCAATTTTAAGCATGTACGTACAGGCAAGTATGCCCCGGGCTTCACTATATTTCGGCCAATATAGTTTCAAACTCTTTGCACTGGTCCACTCAAACCTATGTTATATGGAAATGGACATGTGTCAGTGTCTGATTCAGATATGCATGTTAGAAACGCCAACCCCGAATTTGGCTTTTTGGATGTGGCATGTCTTTATGCCATTTAGAGAGGGGTTTAGATGGGATTTAAGTGACGTAAAGTACTTTTCTAGTGATGGATCAAAAGAAAAACAGTGAGCAAAAGGGACTTGCTTTTTTGAAGTGTTCAAATGTGCTAGGTCTTTGGCATATCGATACGTGCCGAGAACCATGGATATAATGTTCCTAAGTTACAAATACTGATATCATACTTGAACTATTGCTAGCATCAGCATGTTTAGTCTCAGAGAAAATTACCATGCCTAATTTAACAGTATTTTACTCTAGGTTGTGTAGTAAATCTTGTGGCTTGGAGGCCACGAATCCCTAAAATTCATGGAATGAACCATGTCCTTTTTTTTGCTGATGCAGTGCTTGTTTTAGAATGGAATAGTGTCTGATCATTGAATATTGTGCTCACATATCCTTGCAAATATTTGTACTCGATCATGATGCTCACACTCACAGGTTGCCATGTTGAGTGCTTCTCCTTTTGGACGGTTCTCAGCTACCATGTATCCCTCTCTGCCATCTGCTTGGAACCTCTAGAAATAACCTTATACCTTCTTTCCCTAAAAGAAAGAGATTGTCAGTATCCCTCGCTTTGCCAGAAATGAATATAGCAGAGTACAACAAATTTTGGCGTCTTCTTGTGCTCCTAACATACTAGCAGCCATAGTTACAGAAATGGTCTGTGATTTACTCTAGGTTTTATAGAAAGTAGTGGAAAAGGACTGAAATCCCCTGGATCTACGAGATTTTCAACCAACTTCAGCTAATGGTGGCCCACCAATAGGATCTCAACTGTATTTCTTCTTATGTTTATCTAATTTTCTCGTTTGAGAACCTCAATAGATCTCCTCTATGGCATTGCTTCATTTATGGAATACTATGTTACTCGGACACGTGTTGTTAATGGTTTTTGGATGTTCACACAAAGGACACGAGACATGTTACAGCAATCAAATTTTTTTTTTTAAATAAAGTAAAACAGGCATGCGACCTGCACTTTAGAAACTTATACATTTTTGTTTAACCCTTTCTATTCAAATGTAATGCGACTTAAACCCCACCTAACCCATCTTTTAAATATAGAAGGCCAATTTTGCAGTTGGGTTTCTGATGCTCATATCTGTGTTGGACGCTGACACATGTATCCGTCCTTGTAATATGGATGGAGGGGCATGCTGAAGGAGGCATGTTACTAATGACTGATACTGTCATGACGTGTCAGTTGTGTGTGCCTATTTTTATCGGATCAATCTGATCTGGAGGGGTTTTAGTGATTAATTTTAGAGGAAGCTTAATGCTTTTAGGTCATTTGTGGATTCGATGTTCTGTCTTGAGTTGCTCCTGACTGAAGTCTGGAAATATTTGTAACTTACCTTTTTTGTGCATGTATTGGATTCGTCAGGAAGCTACCCTTGCTTGTGTTTACTTAGGAGACAAAATAAATTTGTAGTTTCAAGCTGATTGGTCTCTTACCTTGTGCTCACAAATCAGGATCCATTTATGGATGAGATATTATAATTTAGTCAACCGCGATACCTTGAGGATTAAACTCACATATTTCATGAACACCATATCCATAGATAAGCACCCAAAATAACTTACTGAAACACTTTTGTTCCCTTCTGTATTTTTATTTTTATTTTTAATTTCATGCATATTCATTCAATTATGTGGTTTGTCAATTGTGTTTTATTTTGAGTTTGGAATTTTCCGAGGCAACAATGAGGAGTTACGTTGTAAAAATCATCTCTGTGCTACTGGATTTGAGAGCCTATGATGAGTACTTTACTTTTTGGACGAGTTATGGTGTTCTTCATGTAAATATGATGTATAAAGACTCGTTGTTTATTTGGGTAGGATTCTTTTTGTTTTCTTTCCTCTCTGATTATTGATCTTTTGATTGTGTTCACTTCTTTATACAAAGCTTTTAGTGATATAGTGGCAAATGTTTTTCTGCACATTTTCTTTTTGTGTGTGTGTAAGAGTTGGATGTGATTACTAAAAATATGTTTCTAAAAGTTTCCTTCCTATTTATTTATTATTATGCAAAAGGATTTCGTTCTCTTGTCGGAGCATACTGTCCATTTACTGCCACGGGTCAAACCCGATCTAGGAGTAATTTTAGCACCCCACATTTTGGGAATGCGCCAACCTCAATAGAGATTTTTTTTCAAATTGCACTCTCCATGCACTTCAAAAAAAAAAAAAAAAAATCATCTAGTGATTCTTAGGTGGTTTGCTAAATTTCAAATTGAAAATATCCTCCCAAGTAGGTCTTTTGACCGAGGGAGTACTTGTACACTATGCTCCTGTGCAAGCATAGTAAGTGCTCATTATGCTTTCTGCAGCTGTCGTTGTTGTCATTATTATCATCATCATCATCATTTTTCTAATAATGATGGTGATGATGATGATGATAATGGGAATGATGATGATGATGATGATGATGATGATGATGATGATGATGATGATGATGATGATGATGATGATGATGATATCAACATTATTATTATTTATCAGCATTATTATTATTATATTTCTAATTATAAATTCCCAAACATAGTATAGTAGAAATATTTCAGAAAAAGAAATAGGGCCAGTAAAAGAATGTTGCATATACCAAGCATAAATCCACCTCATCCCAACTTTTGCATCTTTAATTAAAGTATTTGACGAAAATGGGATGAAGCTGCAGCCCTTTATAAGATTGTAATGACTGGAGATGTTCAGATTTGTGTATGCCAACCAACTGTATGACCTGTACATGCCAATTCTACATAGAGAATCATGTTTTTGGAACAACACCTAGCTCTTATGAGGAGCATGTTGAGATGTGCCTTGCATTGTTTTGCAAAAGACATTCTGCATCCCTATTTAGGTATAAGTGTCCTAATACCCAGAACTTGCTCTTGGACTTGGTGGGTGCCTAGAGTGAGTAGCTAGGCGAGTGCCCGAGTTGGACATAAAAAAATCCCAAAAAATGGGGAAATTTATGAAAATAAAAGAATCATAAAAAGTTACACAAATCTATATGCAAAATCAAAAAGCTGAAAAAGTTAAT